TGATCAGAAATGATACGCTCTGGATACCTTTCTCGATATAACTCTACAGCTCTTCTTGAATTTTTTTAAGACTCGCCGTAAATTAGCAACATATCAACTTTTTCTGAATGAGAAAACGATAATTTTCTGAATAGACCTGGTAGCGGTTGAAATAAGAACCAATCAAGGGACGAACGATGTTAATGTTATTACCATATCCTACGTGCATTTGTTTTATACGTAAATACCCATTTCTTTTCGCATTTACATACATTAAGTATAACGTATGCATTAAAATAATGAATATCTACCATTGCATAATACGCATTTACAATTTACATTAACCTATTTATGAAAGTAAAAGTGGTGAATGAGTTATATATATTTAAGTAATATCTACTATTGATTTTTCTTAATGTATCGAAGTGAAAGGGATATATCTGTAGGATTACGTTTGCTATGTGAAATATCTCTCAACGCTTTCTACTAGTAATTAATGGTAATACAACATGCACACAATACAAAAAATCTTAACAATACCAACTAGAGAACGAAAAAAAAATACAAAATTTCGCAAATGTGTAATGTCGGTGGACATTATTTCGTGTTTTGGCAACAATATAAAGTAACTCGAATCTGCATAACGATTCGGAATGAAAAATGAGGAAAGAATTTTGTTGAATTCGCAATTGTTCAATAAAATCTGTAATTTTCTAAACATTCACGATTACTGCAACTTCGTAAATTCAGCGCCTACTAAGATCCAGACTTATATGAGTTCAAGTCAGGTGATCGAGGTGGCTATAAATACCCCTTTTTTATTTACCTAGAAATCAGCTGTCAATAGTAGACATCGGAAACATTATGGCGACAATCAAGTAAATGAACAGTAGTAATATATATTATGCTAGTAAGCGGCAATACCCGTTGTAATAGCAGAAATAGGCTAAATCTGTGGTCTGACTGCCATAAAAACACGTGCCATACACTCGACCTAGCAAAGCATCAAACTCACTCACACATGCACAAACGACCATGAGCAAAAAAGCCGAGATTGTTTACCAGTACACTAGGCTGACAGGGCAGGCATTAGGTGGCGCTAGATACGTATCGAATAAATTGATCGATGCGAAGCTTCAGATCAGAGGCCGACATGTACAAATGGGAAAATATACATGTAATATTATTAAGAGACCTAGTGATTTTTTTATCAAAAAGATGTCAACACACATTGCGCGTTTAACGATGGGCGCTGGCTGTTCAGATTAATATTTCAATTAAGAAAGATATCTGGGGAGTTTAGCTATCTTTCCAAATTGAAATCTTCAGGTCCATAATTTCAAAGTGTCTTACTGCATACAATGTGGTGAATATTTACGCCAAGTAACTTCAAACCATAAGTTTTTTTTTTCAAACAAATAAAAAATCTTTTCTGTAGAAAAACAGACACTGTTCGTTTTTCTTTCATAACTTTTTTTCATAAAACCAATAATAAAAAAGTTTCCCATATGGTGCCGACCTAATTGGACACATTGTATATATTCTTGAAATACAAAGAGTGCAGTTAGAAGAAGAAAATTAGCATTTCCGATCTCTAGTCATTAGTAAAAATTTCACGGCACTGCAGTAATGATTTTACTATCCACATTTGAGCAAATCATCAAATACCGGTACAGCCTTGAAGTGGTATGAACAAACATCTTTTGTGTTACAACCATGGGACGTAGATCGCCCGTAAGATTATCCTAATAACCCCGATTGTTACTAGGAAACAATGGGGATATGATACTAAAAATTTTCCCATGTATATTGTTGGATATTACATCATATACAGTCGTAAATTTATTGCAATTATAAAAAAAAACTGTAAATCGTTTGATAAATAATAATTCTATCATTCCGTTACCATCGAGAAACGATTTCGTGTTGTGGTGAGATAACGGAAATGCGGTTTTATGATTGGAGAAAAGCCTGCCGTAAGAAAGTGCAAAAGAATGGTTAAATACAGGGTGATTCAGAACTTATCCAAATAGAATTTCTTTCTCAAGGAAACGGTAATCAAGTTGTTAAAAAATAAACTAAAAAGCCTTCAGAGAATGAAATACTACACTGAGGGTGACGATAAAATCGCATGTCCAAAGAATTTTAAAGTTTCGCGCATAAGATTTGCCTCATATTGGGAGAAAAAAAAATTATAAAGTTCATCCGAATTTGTCGATATTCTATATTTGAATATCTTTGCTTTTCTTAGTATTAGAAACAACTTTTATAAATAATATTTTGTAGTAGTCCTTAAAATAAGGTCGCTTCACTCTTGAGGTAATTTTGGTTTTTCCCATTTTGTGAAACTGATTTTCGAAGTTTCAGCACAAGCAAAAATTTTTATAAAGAATGACTTTTTGTTGAAAAATGAAAAGTATATTTTTTTACAATAGCAGTTAAGCCAATCCGGGGTCGCACTGTATATAACATTTTAAAACACATATTTTATATAAGCAAATTGAACTGCTTTTGTCGCTTGTTATTATTAATTAATAAAATAAATTTGTGGTTTTAATTAATAAAATAATTTGATATACCTGATGTTACAACAACTGTAAACACATTTGGGCCCGTCTTACCCAATTTCTACGAACTAACACAACTGTTGTCTTGTTTCACCATAACACAAATGTTGTCTTGCTTCACCATAAATTAAAACAATATCCATCAACTTCGAGTTGCTATACACTTAATCCATTTTTGTCATTTTAGAAACTAATGTAAACACTATCGCAACAATGATAATACTAAAATCGGATTTCAATATTCGGAATCGCCTGGGCTACGTGGACGTAGAGACTACTGTAAAGGTTGAAAATACAACTGCAATAATTTTTTTCTCGGAAACAATAAGGATTTTACAATTTTTTTTTTACGATATTGACTCCATTTCTCATGCCGCATCTATTCCCAAATTTTTTTGGATAAGTTGTGAATCACCCTGTATACATATTCACAGGGTGGTCCGAATTTTATGCAGGAAACTTCGAGGGCAGATAGATCTTTTTAAAA